TATGATATAGCCGTCGATTCGACTCTCGATCCTTCATTATTCTATTCAATGACGTGGTGAGAAAATTCAATCGGATGTGCAACAGCCACGGGTATCATCTGCTGTATCCAGTCATGTCGAGTAAATATACAAAGCGAGTACATGTCGATGTGAATATTTACGGTCTCGTTGAACGGAAAAAATTGTATGACTTCGCACGACTGACGAGCATAACGCGGAGTTCTATTTATTGGGTTTTAATAAAACAGTTTCGTATTCATGGAGGAGTTCCGCATAACAGCCATATGACTGCTGGCATTTAATATTCATCCTGCGGATGGATATGAATTGCTGTCAAAATAAAAGAATTTCCGCGCCAATCGTCGTTCATGTGAATGCACCCAAATGGCGGGAAACTCTTCAATTTCAAAAAGGACGCTAACCTCACTTATCGTTGAAGTCTAGTTGCAGCGCCAGTGACAAGTAAATGATCCTTACCTCTCGGTTTTCTCGGCTGGAAAGACAAGTAGACCGCAAATCCTATGGAGTCCAGTTGATTGAATTCTCGTGAACGAAGAGACTGGTTAATAATACGGCTGGTGAAGCCGTCGATGGTGAGGTCTGAATCCAATAGCCACTGGTTGTCTCTCTGTTCACCATTTGATACTGACGTTTACCTGAATATCACTTGGAGGGCTGATGTTGGCCGCATCAATCACTGAAGCGTGCCGATCTACTCACAGGGTATCGTTATCAATCAAATTATAGACAACCTACCGCAAGGGATGCTTTGTCGAATCTACCCCGCGTTGTTAACCTCCACTCCATCTCCGGCCAAATTCACCCCAATTTTCCGCTCCCACAGTCCAGTCTTCTTTATTGCATTTGCACGTACGATAATTGACGATTGAAAAAAAAAAAACATATTGCCAATGGAAATTGTCAGTCACGCGGATGATTTTTTTTCTGCTCGTTAACGAATTTCAGTCTGGAAAAAATTTTCAATGGATTTTCCAAATGTCACGATTTCACAGATTTCTATTGTCTGTCAGAACGTGATGCAGAGGAATTGAATGTTTGATGAATCCTCTGAACACATGGATGAGCAAAATTTTCTAAAAAAAAAATGGATATAGAAAAATTAACAATGAAAATACCGGAACTACTGGGATTCAATCAGATCGTCCACCGCTGGCTCTCCAGCAGAAATTCCCGGAATATAATCCACGATAATTTCCATTATCATTGAATTTCTTATTCTATCTGTTGATATTATTTTTTATCGGACTTCTTTCTCTACTGAGTATTGATTCTCCCATCGCAATGGTATTACCAAACATAACAAAACAGATCCCATGAAATCCAATGGCGGGTTGGGTTGAAACTGCGCCATCCGAATCTCCGAGTCTGAACGTGTAATACCATCTATAATCGTAAAGCCAACTGTGCGGCTTTTGAATAACCCTCTAGTCTACCCCCTCCTCCGATCAAAATTATGCTCTAATTGAACAATACAACCCCCTCTCCCTCCCCAGCTTCGAGCATCCAATTCCGATACAAATCCACCTGCTTTAATCGATCGTTAGGCGCATCAACTTATCGTCTAATCATTTCCGCTGTTTCTCCGATCGTAATATCTACTAATAACTCCGCGCATTCATTACATCAACCATTTCATCCACAAAGCGACGACGCCCACCATTTTGTCATGCTTATAACCTCAAGAGACTTCAAATAATCTACTTTATCTACTGTTAATAATAGCCATCAATCGATACGTCAGTATTGGAATGATCAATTATTATTCCTTTTAAAAATTCGGGTGAGGTTTTTTTGTTGTTTTTTTTTCTCAGTGTTAGGATGATTAGGTCCATTAGTTGAGGTCTATTATTTCGATAGCTTTCCGAGAAGAGACCGTCGCAATTCGCAGTAATGTCGGAGTGGAACCGAGTCAGACACGACGCCCTTGCCCACTCTTATTTATTTTTAGTCTCTTGTAGTTTGATCAATAATTCCGGAAATAGAGACCGAGGATTATCCTCATTGTGGGTTGATATTCCGTTCGAATTGATACTGAGCCATATAATCATTATTGAACCCTCTTTAACCTTCGGAAAGGTAAATACAGGACTTCCGCAATGCAGAATAATTTCTATAATTTTATCATACACTGTAGCGTTGAGGTTAAATCAAGTTTCATATCTATTTGACCCTCAACTTCGCTCGTTAATTTACCAATGATTGAGGGTCAAGTCCTGTCCGTCAAGTTTGACCCACAAAATTGACCCCGCGTCTCCATATTCTCCCCAGTCACTGGAGATCCGTTAAGAAATGAAAGAGTCGGGAATTTTTCCACCTGCGAAAACCAGAAAATGCTATTGCCTCTCTGGTCTGCGAATGGGAAGGATGTAGTACGTTCGCGGAGGTGAAACCTCAACCCGAGACTCTTTAGTGCCTCATAATTTACCCGAGCTCTCCCTAGAATTCAGTCACGATCTTTACTCTCTTCTCGTACACTCCAGAGGTGGAGGAAAACGACAAAAAAAAAATACAAATTCCTATTATTACGAAATATTCCTTTGGAGTTTATGTGTATTGGGTGGTAAATTTTGCTGAGAAAGGAAGTGAGTGAATTGAACAATAAGTGAGACGGCAAGGTGCCAAGGAGTCGCTCACCGGGGGGTTGAAATCTTTGGGTCCAATGAACCGTGAATTCTCCAGGCGCCTGCGAAATTTACAGATTCAGAGTCTTTTTTATCTCCATCCAGGACAATGCAGTCTGCGAGTCTTTTTATCGCACCTAATCAATATTGGTATTGCTTTCAGTCTAAGAATTTATTCATTCCACCGAAATCAACTATCCATTTTGAAAACACCAGTTCGCAGAACACCATTCTCCAATTTCAATTCGGTGGGTCAAAGTCGAGGGTCAAAACAATGTTTTTGGGTCAAAATAAAGGGTCAAACCCAATAAATACATTATATCGATTTTATCTCCGGAAATTTCGCGACCTATCAAGATATAAAATTCAGATATATTCCCCAGTCCCAGCGAGAAGCAAGAACCAATGAAAAACGTATTAAATTGATGAAACTGCTGTCAGTTTGTCTAATGAATTTAAACTTTCCACTTTAAAGCCCGAGTTTACTCTTCTCTGGGATATAGATAAAACGCCAGTTTAAGGACACTAGTGCCCAAGGAAAGTGGCTGTAATCAGCCATTATTGGTAATTACTTGGTACGAGTTATCCGGCCTTTACTACTTCCTATCTGACTTCGCCGAGAAATGGCGGGAGCTCGGGATGTTGAAGATACTGAGGTACTTCCGGGGTGAGAGTAAGGACAAGCATTTTCCCTGAGGGGGTGGGTATTCCGGGTGGAAATAAGAGCCTTCCGAGATGGAATTACTGGCAACGTCGACACCCCCCAAGTGACGAGAGCCATGGCTCGTTGAATTTTCCGATTTATTCGGGTTGTAACTTCCTTTCACGACTTTTCATTCCGACTCAACGGTTCATTTTTCAAACATAACAAATCCTTTCAGGTATTCAATAATTAATCGTTCCCTTCGTGTAATTAATTACTGAATTTTATCTTCTCGTTCTAAAATCTCTCTGATATATTTTATATAATATTTCTGAAAGATTCGAAAAAATCATTCCCTTTTATTTATTTTATTTTTTCAACTCAGATCTTTATCGCGACTTCGTTCTCATTCATTCTCTTTCATCCCCGTGGAATGAGTTTTCCACATACATTAAATTATTTACCCAAAATGTGAAGTTAGAGGAAATACCGAAAGGAGAAACCGCCACTTCACATTCATCAGGTGGACGTTTAATTAACAGATACGATCCACGCAATTACGCGATGTACATATTTGTGATACTGTTTCTTTCCCCGGCAGTACGAGAAATGGATGAAAAATAAAAATCTGTGACGGGGAATGAGTGAATGCAAAAAAAAAAATGCTGAGTTGAGTGGTGCGAGAAAAATAGAGTCAGCCCTAGGTTTTATGAATTTTAAATTCCAAAATTTTGATTAAATGATAAATAATTTCTTCCTAATTAACCTTTATTCGTCGTTTCAAATTTTCTAAAAATAACATCCAGTGCTGTTTAATTGCGTCAATTTCGCTGGCGCATAAGTGGGGGAAAAAAAATGAGTTTCATCACGAAAGGATATTTGCCAACTTGAAAAATCCGGAAAGGTCACAATATTGACAGAACTCTTCACCTTGGCCCTCTACTATTTACTCCGTCTCTCCAAAATCGCATTTTCCTCAAGGGCTCCTGAAAGAATCACAAGTATTTGCGGCGCCGCACGAATACCCTCCAATTATCTCATTAATCTCGAAATTTTTAATGAGTCAAAATTCCCTCTCACTCCGCAATACACAATTCCACACGAACGACTAATGAATTTCGCGTAAACATCCCATCAGGCATACAATTTGCTCCACAATTAACACGACAATTACCAAAACACGTGTTCCATATGAAATGTACATTTTCCGTCCTCCGAGTCCTTTTAATTATCCCCACTTTATCCACCCGTGGTGATTCATGATTATTCCATTAATAATCATCTTCAATTAGTCTCGATTGCAATTTTAAATAAATTAATTAACAACTGGATTAATAATTTGGCTGGTAAATTTATCCGCGTAATTCTTCGAATTCGTTTGCACGATTTTTCTCCCAAATATCGAAATTTCGTCCTTTGTGACGTGAAAAAACAATTTTCCGATACTATTCAGGGTTTATGGCCCCTCGGAATGAAAAAAAAAATACAAACATAAATGTACACATCGTGGGCTGTACGGGGAACAGCGATTTGCCGAGGCATGAAAAATAGCGAGGAAAAATCAATTCCCATGACTCAATTTTCCCGGAAAGTTTCAATCCAAATTTCAACCTGTGGTGATTTTTTTCTCTCGTTTATGTCGAATGAGTGGTATTGTTTTTTATTGAAATAGATTGGTTATTGATACTGACGATCGGAATTTATTGTGCTTTCAGAGCCATGACAGCTGGCAGGGACACGACGGCGATCAGGTGAGCATGAGAGTAATTTCATGAATTTCCATGAATTTCCATGAATTTTCATGAATTTTCATGAATTTTATTCGGTGTACTGTTGCATGAATTGATCTGTCGCATGATTATCTTATTTGTTTGGATATTTCCTTGAGACAATGAGATTAACATAAAAAATACTTTATCAATAAATATTTTTTATCGATTCAATCTGAGACAAAAATTTTCTCCGTGCACTATTTTCTCGAGGGAATTTTCTGTTGTCTTGCCTCTTGAACGAACTAACAAATAAATTCCACGAGTGAAATATTAATGATAAGAGTATGTTATCTCCCTGAAAAATGGCCGACACCATAAATAAACCGTAAAGTCGATTATTCACAAATAATTCAGGTGAGTTGTTCTTATTTTTCCGTCTATTCTCCAGCACCACAGTTTTCTTTGGTATCGCTTAACTGACTCCAGTGATAAATGTAGTTGTCCCTGAAAAAGCATCGATCTTACCTTATCTCGTTCAGATTTCTCTGAGGCGGTCGCTTCGACACGCGGGAATGAAATCAACTCCAAAAAAAAAAAAAAAAACCAACAAAAAGAGAAATATTATTCAATCTCTAAAGTATTATCGAGGGAAAATGGACACTGAATTTTCCGCGAAAATAAAAACAACAGGGAAACGCATCTTTTCCTCATTAAATCGTGGATAAAAAATGGAAAACTCCCCCAATCGATAATATCAAATGATTTAAATTTTTTATTAATCGTAGAATTAAAAGAGAATTAAAAATTGCGAATGAAATTTTGTTGTTTAATTTTAATTAGGAAGACGATGAAATGAGAGAAACTTGAATTTCAAACTCGGAATGGGCTTCTAATATTTTAATAAGAAAATTGTTGATTTGAGGATCGAATATCAAAGGGCATTGAACTGTCTCGTGTTTGGAGAGGAAAGGCGTCTCCATTGGCACTTTGCAGAGTCCTTAACAAGTTTCAACAAAAGGGACTCTTGTCTCGTATTATAGAGAATGGATAAAGCCAATAGATTCCGCCCTTATTCAACCATTCACCCGTAGTTTTCAGCTGCTCCATCTTCACTGGATTCTTCTCCATTATTTTTTTAACCCATAGGACATGAGTCTCGGACTCTCCCTTTGTATCGAGGGTTGAAAGCAGTTGCTCCAAATCCCTTCGGGTTATTCAGCGAAAAGAATGCGGATATATTTTCAGATAATTCTTACCAGACGACTAGCTCTCGTTATCCGCGACGAAATGCGGAATTATTTTCGGAAAATTCAGCGTGAAGCCGGGAAAATAATTTTCTTTATTTACTGTCAACTTCAATTACTGAGGGAGAAGTCGTTTTTCATTACTTTCGTCACCCAATATTGAGATTTTGGTTAATGAAGAGAGTGGAAACTCTTTTCAGACCAGTGCATTACGTAAATGAGTCTCTCGAGTTCATTTCTTAACTTTCCATTTCCTCTATTACTGGATCTCTTGCTTGGATGAATTTTGTCATTTCACATCTAAAATCATTGAAATATCCGCCACTAATTTGATTGGAAAAATAAAATTCCCAGCATTTCTCATCGTTATCGTTGCTCCAAGCAATAATTTTCCGAAATTTTCCAGATAAATGAGAAATTTTATTCAAACTCCTAATCGAAAATTCCAATGAACTCTATGTCTGAAATTCCAAATAATTTTAACCAGTGACTAACACATTTGTAAAAAAAAAAATTGTCTAAAAAAAAATTATGTTTGGGAAAATATATCTTTGGAATTGGGTCAATTAAATCAGAAAAAATTGTGTAAAATTTATTAACATTCGATATTTTTAATGAATTTTCTGTTGGAGCTGAATGCTTCCCTGAATTTATGATTTTTATTTATTGTCTCTCTTATTTTTTGGATGACTCAGGACTTTATGGAATATGAGGACACCGGAACATCATCAAACCGCCATTAACCGCAACACTTCAGCGTCATCCATCATACGCCCTTTTGTTCCCCACGTAATCTCCCATTACAATCATCAATAAACCATTGACAAGTGTTTTATTCCTCCAATAGCAGCTAAACAACCAGTCGACCCCATTTGTTTTGTGCAATCCTGATTTAAACGCACTTGCTACATTTGTCAAAGTATATTGCATGGATAAAGAGGAATGCCAGTGGAATTCAATTACTTCAATTGCATACTTGTTTTGCATTCACTCTGTTTTATTTTTTTACTCAAAAAAATTTAAGCCTTTTATAATAATGAAATATAAATAAAAGCATTAATCATGTCCTAATTAAAAACAAATGAATCTTTACTTTTATTTATCTAATGCGTAATTATTAATATTAATCTGTTGTCAAGTAACAATATTTTTCAAGTGTAGATCGATATATCGATCGTCTGTTTTACTGATTGTCGATGACAATCGAAGATCCTCGGTAGATGTCGCACTAGATATACAAAAGATCGACATTCAAAATATGCAGCTAAATCAAGCGCTAAAAAAACCATTAAAAATCGCAAAAATGTCAATTAACAAACAGAACGTGAATAAACAAATAACTGAAAAAAATAGAAATTATTTACTCACCTGCGTGGATTCACTCCTCTCTGGGGTGATTAATATTCCTCTCTCGTTCCTTTCGATTCGCAAAAAAAAATGTTGAAAAAAAAAAATGATGAGAGTCATTTCATCTCAGGTACAAAATGTCTCCTCGCTCTTTCAAGTACTGAAGCCTCGTTTAAGTTTCCGGGTCATAGCTCACAGCCTAAACACCCACCAAGACTCTTTTTTTGTGCAATTTAAATGAAAAGAAAAAAAAATGAAGAAAAGCGAGGGAAATGGGGGGAAAATATGCATGTTCTCTGGTCGTTTCGTGAACAGGCACAACCCTCTCTGCAAAACTTTTCCTTGGCGCTCTCCATTGCGCTCCACATCCGTTATGTATCTCTGTATATACAATGTCTCAGTGTATATACAATTGCATTTGTGCTACGTCGAGCGCAAGTTGGACATGTGAAAATTTGAATGCTCTCTGACCCCTCTAGCATGTGTTGGGGAGATTTTCTGGGGATTTCTGGGAGAGATTTCCCTTTGGCTTCGCAACGCGAAAAGAAATATTCGATAAAATCACGAATTCAAATTGAAGTCAGTATTTTTTAAAATAAAGATTGAATTTTTTTTCACACCTCACTTCGATGTCCGATGACAATGGCCCATCGATAAAACCGATTTCCACTTAGTCCCATTCATCATTAATAATCTACATCAATTCCCACGGATAATCCCCTTTTTCATCGCGAATAACTGTCTTGGAACTTCACCTGGCGTTTTATAAATATTCCTGACATGACATCGGGGGGTTTTCAATAAAATCAGCGAGACGTGAATGGAATTGGTGAAAAAAATGCAGTCATTCACTTGAAAAAAGAGAGTGATAGCTAGAAATATCGGCGGTGTTAACAGGAAAACAGAAACAATGAGAAGGATACCGTCTCGATTCAAAATATTTACATGTACACCAAGTGAAGGCTCCCCGAAATTCCGTACTTATCGGGATTTTCAGAATTTTCCAACAGAAAATATTGTGTGGTATTATATCTTTCAATATATTCCAATATCAAATTTTTATTTTAATTCACCCCCAATATATAACACTATGCGATAATTTATGCGATAATATAAGATAGTATTCGAATATCATACGATAATTCAAACTTTGTAAATTAATTAAATAAAAAAAATATCATTTGGGTAAATAAAAAATCTCGTTAGTGGAAAAAATATTTAGTGAATTATCCGCATACGATAATTTTTCGGATATGTCATAATTTGAATCTCGTGAATTTAGTTGAATACGATAATTTCCCGCGCCCGTGAATGTAGCTCTGGCGTCGCTGTGCGACAAGTGAGTCGTACCAGAGGTGGGGATAAAACCCAAAGAGGTCTGTACAACCTGTTTACGTGAGACGCCGCAAGCCTCGTCTCCTCCCAGGACTAAATTACCCCCCCAAAATCCTTAAAACTATAAAACCACCCCTCTACAACCCCCTACAAACCAATCGGATCACAAGTGAACAAGTGTTTTGTGAAAATGGGGGAATTTTTGTGGTGGGAGAAGTCGATTTAGCCTCAAGTGCAACAGGCTGTGTTCAGAATGCCTGGAGGTGGTTGCCAGTGATTTTGTCAGTTGACCAACGGTTTATATTTCACTCCTGCATTTTTCTTTTCACTCATTCCTGGTTATTTATACGTTGTGTATCGATATCGGGGGATAATTGTCAAGGTCAGGGAGCAGGGGTGAACAATCGATTGTTGGATCGATTGTTCAAGGGCACCGGTGAGTCTTTTTTCTATTTTTGTTTTTATTCAATTTTTTTTTTACCCGGGAGTTGTGAACGTTAGCATCAGGAATCAGTGGATGGGGGAGAAATTTTTGGAGTGGGATTTTGAGGTTAGGGTGGGAGAATCTCGGAGTTTGAGCGATTGTTTCGCAGTGGCTGAGTGGATTTTTGTAATTGTTTATCGAAATTTTCGGCGCTTTTGAGGGGTTTTGAATGAAATTTTAATTTTCAAAATCGCATCGTGGGGAGCTGAGTTATTCGCGGTTGAAGCGGTTTGTTTTATTTCAGTCTTGAGTGGGAATTTGTTTTTGTACACTGAAAACTGCCGGAGGAATTGAAATTTAATAATTTAATTAAATTCAAACATTTCTTATTGATTTTTCGACTTTTTTATCGTCAGTTGAATGGGATAAAATCTCTGAACAAAAATTTAGAATATTCAGTTCCGTTTTCTCAGTCAGCATTCCTGCATAATTTTTCAATAATTTCCCTCGAATTGATTGCTTTCAATAATTATTGCTTTTCAACTGTGTGAACAATTTCTCACGGAAACTTGTCAACTTGCGTGTCTCGTCGCGATAACCATCGCAGGTTAAAAAATATTTCCCTAAATAAAAAAAAAAACTGGGAATTACTCTGACCCCTCAGTCACGCTCACTGATTCTCCCCTCTA